CGTAGAGACAGGAAATACTACATGAACACACAATGCCTGTGTATGTATTAGTAATACTACTATTATAATATATCATATTCTCACCCGCATTTGTTCCGAAAAAAACAAACAACAGAACCCATTTCTTTCGAAAGATAAATGCAATACACTTTCTTGTTATGTCCTATAAGTTTTCCCAACCTTGTCATTCAATCAGAACAGTCCTTCTTTACTGTTTGTTTAGTTTTAGTAGAGGTTTTACGGCGCTCGCAACTGCATAAAGCCATGTGAGCGCCAGGGGGTGGATGTCAACAGAGGAGTCCTTACAGGGAATCAGACTTACTCTGCTCACCTCTTTAGCTTTAACAGCACAAAGTCTGCTTCGACTATCAAGGTACCGCGGAAACGGCGGGTCACAAGACTGTGACAAACATACAAAAGAAGTACATTTAGAGGGAAAATGACGATAGTAAGGATTAGGAAAGAAAAAGCAGCAGTTCCATGTTGCAGTTCAGGCACAGTCGTGAGCATGATATCGATGAATCATCCCATTTACAGTAACAATTCTACAGTGCATAAGAACATGGTTAATTTCCCCCCTTTGGAAATAGCCTGAAGACATTTCAGTCAGTAGCACCGCCAGGGGGGGGGGGGTCCATACTGTATTCTTCATCCCTTCAGAAACTGTATTTTCCTACGTCGGTCTTGGAGACGTAAAGATAAGTGACTTTTTGATCACTACTGTCGAAGAACTTAGGTCGTAATAGAATCATTGCTGCTCTGAAACAACCTGCAACTGTGTTCAACGGTTTGGTAGGTGGTTGGCGGGTGCTCTGGTGTGGCTTGCTTCTTCTTTCCTATCAAGTATCTATCATCTTTATCTCCCCTCCTTCTTTTTCGTATTTGTTACTCTCTTGTAACACCTCTAATCTTCGGCACTTATATGCCTTTATTGTGTTGCAAGTGCCGTAAAACTCTTACTAAAACTAAAACAACCTTTTGATTTATTGATTTACTTGACTATTCACAGTCGACAGCTATTAGTTTTCTTTTCACCTGAGTATAGGAGAAGAGGAGAAGCTGGGATTACAAATATTTTTGACGCCAGTTTAAAAAAAATAAAAGAATTCATTTTAAAATATTACCCCTACACGTCTTGGAAAAATGTAATGCAATAGTCCTTGCAACAACTTCTGTTCTCACCTCCACCCACCTCCACCCACCTGCCTCCCCCCCCCCCCAGCCAACCCCTCCTCTTCTGCCCCAACACTCTCACAAAGTATGGAAAACATTGTGTGCAATTTCTGGGTCAAGAAATCTTGTTAGGGTGTGATGGGTTTTTTCTATCTTTTAATCTAAAAGGTTTTACACCTCCATCGAGACACAATTTAGATCATTTAGGAGGCGCCAACCCGGGCCGAGAGGGATACACAACATCCCAGCAGAAAGTCCGAGACACTCGATAAAACTTTCTTCCCTCTCGAGAATCGAACTTGGGTCTCCTGGGTGGGACAGCGAGGCCCCTGACCGCTACACCGCATACGCTGGTATTTGTAAATGGTGTGGGTGGAGTCTTTGAAGAAAAAAAATTAAAATCCTGTATGTTAAAAAATAGTCGTGACATTTTTCTAGGCTGCTTTGAATGTGGTCTGGGACAAATGGGTATTTTATCATGCGTTAGTGATATTTGTAACGTTATATTCTCACACGTATTTTGTATCGAAAATACACAAAACCATTTCTTTAGGAAGATAAATTTTAATACAATACACTTTCTTCTCATTTTGATCTTAGTGTTTTATCCAGTTTTCCCAGTCCGCGTCATTTAATCAGAAGAGAATGCATTAGTAAATGATACGTTCACCATCAGCTCATTGTCCCCACCGCTATGTCACCGTCCCAAAAAGGGTACATTGATTTCGTGTGAACACTAGATGTTAGAAGATTGAGTTGGACATGAAAGAGGGTATCATCTCTCCGAATCTCAAGGAACCATTCAATTAATAATAATAGTAATAATATCAATAATAATAATAATAATAATGATAATAAAAATGATAATAGTAATAATAGTGATAATAGTGATGGTAATAATGATAATAGTGATAATAATGATAATAGTGATGATAGTAATGATAATAATAATAATAATAATAATAATAATAATAATAATAATAATAATAATAATAATAATAATAATAATAATAATAACAATAATAATAATAATAGTAGTAATAATAATACTAATAATAACAACAACAATAATAATAATAATAATAATAATAATAAAAATAATAATAATAATAATAACAATAAATGACATTTATATAGCGCCCAACCCCGATTAAAGTACACAGGCTCTGGGCACTTTACAATACAATACAATACAATATACAATATACTATACTACAGTAACACAAGACGTTGTGTTCTGAGCAAAGAATATCTCTCTTAACATTCATCTTATCAATCTAAAAACAGAAGCTGACAATTTTTTAAAATATCGTAACAATGAAAAAACGTAACAATGAGGTCTAGTAGCATGTAAAAATAAACTTGAGCCCTCAGTTCTGAGGTTACTTGACCTAGTACACACACCTGGGGTATGAGATTGCGAGCTCGGGGGTTCGAGCCTCAGCTCGGTCCGACGTTGTGTCTTTGGGGAAGACACTTTACACGAACCTCCCACTTGGCTCGGTCCTAGCGGAGACGGACGTTAAACTAAGAGGTCTCACCCTTTAAATAACCTAATAGTGTTAATAGTGGCGCTAAACCCGTACCATTTCACCATGTTCACACCTGGGGTCTCCATTCTCAGTGGCGCCACGTTAAGGTAGCTGAGAGGTCATGCGTGATAGACACTTTTAGCTTACTTAAGCCCAGGGTCATTTTGTACACAAGGGGTTTTATTCTTCACATTTTAGAATACTTCAAGTGCGAAGATCTCTTTGAAACTTTCAATATTTCTCAAAAAAATCATATTGACAGACTGCTATGCAAAGCGTACGGATCGGATTTACGAGTAAATTTACTCTTTGGAAAGTGGTGGCACAGAGTTCCCGATGTCGTATGGATACGATAGTAAAACACTACGGATGGATAGAGTTAAGAAAGTGTGTGTCGAAAATGACGTTTACCCAATGTCCAATGTCCTGACAGTAACTCGATATCCCAGAATTACAAAGTCCTGTGTGAGTTTCACAATTTGTTAAGCTGTTTTGAATGCAATTCTTCGAATGTAATGTTGATACCGACTCCGAATTATTTTTCGATTTTGATAGAGCAGATAGAACATAATTAATTTGGTTTGTAACCTCGTGGTCTTAGTAACTCAAAACGGGCAAAAGAGCGAAGATAGAACTTTGTATTTCTAAAGTAGCGAAGAGCTGCCAAACTTTTACGCCGCAATCAACCCAGCTAAGGCAATCTGGGGCACAGCATACTTCAGACATGTTTCGAACAATGCAATACAAAAAGTAAAGTTGTTCCCCCAAGGGATTGCCTTGTTAGTGAGACAACTTCCTGGGCCTTAGGCATGTTGTGGTGGGGTGGCCAGTTCCTTTCCACGCCACCTTTACTTCCCCAACTCGAAGTCAGGTACCCATTACTGCTGGGTGGCCAGTTCCTTTCCACGCCATCTTTACTTCCCCAACTGGAAGTCAGGTACCCATTACTGCTGGGTGGCCAGTTCCTTTCCACGCCACCTTTACTTCCCCAACTCGAAGTCAGGTACCCATTACTGCTGGGTGGAAAGCTATATAAACTGAGATAATCGAACGTGAACAGCCTCTGCTCCAAAAAATAAAAAATCTCCACCCAGGATTCGAACTCGCGTCTTTCACGTGCAACGACAATAAATAGCCTGATGACAATTGCGCCGTAGACGCTGGCAGTTTCACTTCTGTTCATTTCCTCTTTTTCTTTCTATCACACAAGAATACCTCAACCTTTAAACTCCAGCAATCGAAAGAAAGCAGTATTCAGTAATACCTCCTCCTAGGCCATTTTCTTCGGGTGGCTTTGTGGACGTTCATAAAGAGGATAATATCTTGATTATCAGGGAAGCTTTAAAAAGATAGCACACGTTTTTAGAAAATTGAGCATGAGATCAGAAAGAATAACAGAATTTCTCCTAATCCAGAAGAGTCACAAAAGGAAGAAAGTTATTATCGTAATAACCACGAAGTAAAATCTTCCAATGTCAATAATAATATTATAGGTTCAGAAAACACTACCTGGGCAGCCAACTTACTGAATTAGGGCAGGAGAAGAATAGGGAGGAAGAAGCAAACATCATCCGTCAAACACGAACTTCCTTGCTCGCGACACAAAAGCAATCAATGTTTTTCGGATGAGATTGTCTTCAGTTTTGTTTCTTTTTTTGGTGACATTCAAACATTCCCTTTTTGAACTCATTCGCTGGAGTTGATAAAATGAGAAACCAGCAATTAGCTACCAGTCTTGACTTGGCTTCAGATTGACGTCTTGAATGTAACTTTTTATTTCGCTGCTCTTTGTGGGCAATATGCTTTCAACTTCCACATTTGATTTTCTCGAAGAAGAAGAAGAAAAATAGATATGATTCGAACACTGTGCAGTGTGTGTATATTTTACAATGAAGCCTCGCTATTGTAGTACGATGTTAGTTGATGGTATCAATTCTGGGTATAGCAAATAATGAGTCGCTTTAAGTGTGTATCAGGACTCTTGTGTGTAAGCAGACAGTTAGCGTTCCACGCAATTATCAATTACCACAATATACCTTTCTTTTAATCTCTCTCTCTCTCTCTCTCTCTCTCTCTCTCTCTCTCTCTATCTCTATCTATCTATCTATCTATCTATCTATCTATCTATCTATCTATCTATCTATCTATCCATCATCTTCACCCCCAGAACTCTCACGTCGACCTAGAATAACAATATCCATTTCATTGTACACTACTATATGAAAAAAGTAGATTCATTTGTTATACTCATTTCAAATGGGATGAAAATTTATATTTAATCGTTTACCTTTTCAGAAACACTAAGCGCCCGAGCAGGACTAAAACTCTGGGCTGAGACAGGTGAGTGTGATAATCATCTTGGCTCAATCTCATAGTAATTATGATTGTTTATCGTAAACTGTTGTTGGGGGAGGAGGGTAAGAGTTATCGTTGCCTAGAGGTGTTCGCCTCTCATTCAAAGGTCCCGGGCTCGAATCCTGAGAGCAACGGAAATGTTCTCTAAAATTAGCTCCTTCACCCCCTTTCCTGCTCTCTAGCCATGTTCTGTCGTCTGCTTTCCTGTCCACTTTCTGCCCTCACCCCTATCATCTCCTTTGCCACCTCCTCTGGGCTCCTGAGTCGCAGCCTTTCTACTGCTACTCCTTGGCTCCTTCTTACTGCTGTCTTTCTGCCGCACCCTGATCTTCTGGTAGGAAAGATCTACTCTTAGCCTTCTCGGACAAGGGCGAAAAATCTCGGAGGTCACGTGTGCAAGTTGAGCACGTTAAAGATCTCTTGGTGGTCCAAAATTGATACGAGTAGGCTTCGGACGCCACTCTGGAAAAAGTCAAAATTTCCTATAAATTGAAAATATTTAATGTGCCCCGCCCTAAAACACTTACCGAAAAATAGTAGTAATAAAAATACGTTTGTTTATTGTAAACTGTAGTCAACAATATTATTGAACTTTTGGGAAGCGGGGTGAGTCGGCTCTACCTGTCAAGGCAACCCGGGATGAGCGAGATACAGTATCCCAGAATAAACTTGGAGATACTCGGTGACATGAACGTTCTCACCCACTGCTCGATTTTCGCATCTCTACTCGACTGCTTGAAAAAATGGTGAAATGGTTTAGGTTTATCGCCCCTATCAACACTATTAGGTTATTTGAGAGGCGGGACCTCCGAGTTAAACGTCCATCTCCGAAAAAAACCGAGCCAAGATGGAGAAATTGCGTAAAGTGCCTTTCCCAAGAACACAACGTCGGGCCGAGCGGAGGCTTGAACTCCCAAACCCTCAATCTCACGATTACGAGTCTGGTAGCCTCACCACAAGGCCACGGACACCACTCTACTGCGTGAAACGACCAAAAGAAAAAAACAACTAACAGCTACGGTACTGGTTGGTGTATTAAACTTTCAAATGATATCATTTTTTGCTGACCCGCTGAGAGGAACTTGTCGCCATATTATTTTATTTTGACTAGGGGTGAATATCCTGCAGTGGTCGAGTGTGTCTTGTGATTTTGAAGAGCTTTGGAGTATGTATCTTGTATATCACTCCAAAGGTCTTGTATTTAAATTCCTGCCTGTGGTTGAATGATGCGTCTGATGTGAGATAATACAACCTTTTTGTCAGCTTTACTTTTCTTTTCATATTGAATTTTAATTAGAGAAATAATATAATTTAAATGTGTATGTATACTTGCATGTGAGAGAGTGCGGTGGCGGAGCGGTTCGAGCCTCGGTTCAGATACGGATTTTTTTTCGCCCCCTCCTGCCCACCCAGCAGTAGTGGGTACCTGACTCCCAGTTGGGGAAGTAAAGGTGACGTGGAAAGGAACTGGCAATCCTACCACAATATTATGCCTAAGGCCGAGGAAGTTGTCTCACAAGCAAGGCAAACCCCAATGTCCGGATCGGATGCGGGAACAATTTTACTTTACTTTACCCGCTTGTGTTTTTACGGTCCTGTACAGTCAAGAAAACGTTCACTCTGAGATAATAAAGTATTATCTTATCTTATCTTATCGTAGCTTAGCTTAAATATCAGGAAAATGGGTGGGCGTTAAATCCTGCACTTGATACAAAAAAAGACATTTCAACATTTCAACATTGCTAGCCATTGCTGAGACAGCTATATAAACAGACAGTAATGGGACATTGAAAAGCCAAAGATAAACAAACATTACTGCTCATCTAGTCTCGATTGTATTCTCTTTTACTTGTTCTTCTTTTCTTTCCGTTTCTTGTTTTAATAGGAATAAGTAAACAACACTCAATTTTTAATTTGTATATTATAATGGCGAACATTCAGTCTCGTCAGAAATCATAGTAGCGAAGAAAGTCTTTGTTCTTTCTAGATAAGTGCTTTTCAAGTTTCGCACAGCAATCAATTCTTCAAATTGTTTCCACCAACCTGCGTATCTCTTATCTTCTAGAATAATAACGCTATGTTC